GTGCCGAGGTGCGGGTCCAGCCCTGCCCTGGTGACAGCCGGGTTGCTTTATCCCTCCTGGCAGGGTTGCTTTCTCGCTCCTTATTCACTGGACTGCACAGCATTAAAGAGCTCTGGAAGGGCTACAGGATTTGAGCCTTTTAAATGCTCCGAATGGACTCCTGGGTCCCAAATCCTTCTGAGGAAGGACTGGGGAGTTGGGGGATGCTCAGGAGTGATATTCTTAACCGATGGGTTTGCTCATTAATAAGTAGATAAATTAATAAACAGATAAAGCGGTCATATTTAGGGATGGCAGTAGTGCTGTTCTGCCATATGCACATTTGTTCACAAATAATGCAATTTAGGGCAAGTGGAATGCAGATATGGTTGCTGATCTGATTAAGTATAAAAATCTGGAAAATTCTGTCTCAAATTGATGATGGGCTGCTGCTCTGTACTAAAAGTGATCTTTGTATTGGACTGGCAGGTATTGCAGAGATTACTTGGTTTCTTTTTCAGCAGCAACAATACTCAATTTTCCTGTGCCAGAAAAGTCTTGTTCAAACAGATTTGGTTTTTCTTTACCAAAAATGTGATGCTGAGTCCCAGAGCTGTGTCCTTCAACACTTTTCTGTTTTTCTGCCTGCCTCAAATTCCTCACACCAGAATAAAACCAAAGTTAATCAAAATCAGGAACATTTTGGCTGAACAAAGCAGCAGAGGTTACTTATGCTTTTGACAATTCCCGCTCTGGGCAGGACATTAATTCCTGTCCAGGGCTGAACATTTGGCTTCCACTCCAGTATTCACAAGGCTGCTGCCTGCACAGCCTGGTCCGTGGGACACACTGTCAGGAAGGAGATTACTGCAGATAAAAGGGCCCCTTAACAGTGACTAATGGCCCGGCCCAAATATTAGTTTTACACTCAGGGCAGATCCATGTCTGAGGGAAACAGCAGCTGTTCCCCACACTGGGGCCGTGAGGAGGAGCATCCAGCTCAGACCCTGCCCTTGGTCCCTTCCAGCAGGTATTTCCAGTTCTGCCCCGGGACTTCTCTCCTCCATCCTCTCCTTTATTCCTCACTCTCATCTTTCACGTGCGCCCCTTCACCCCAAAACAGCAACATTCCTTTCTGCCCCACTGCTGCTTCTCTCCTTCCCAGCCTCTATTCCTGTTTGTCTTGTTTTGTCAGGGTTTGGGACACAACTGTGTAGAAAGGGTTATACATATCAGTAATTCTGTATTTAATCAGCTCTGAACACACCTATTTATTCCCATTCTTATTTGAGTCATTTCCTGATATGCAGAAACCAGGGGATAATGCAGATTGTCTTTCTAAGCAATCCTCTCCTTGTTTTTTCCTCTACCAATTAATCCAAATGGGGGAAAAGAGTTTAATTCTCTATACCTTTCAGCTAATCTGGAATCAAAAGTAATTTAGATGGTTTCTGTAAAACCTCTCCTCCAAGCACAGCAGGGNTTTCACACACAACAGCTCCAGATACTTCCTTGAATGACTGCTTTACAGTAATTGAACACACAAAAGTTATATCTTGAAGGGAATGATTTCCCTTGGTCACCTGTTCTCAAACACACAGGCTGGCACATGCACCCTAGGAAAGGAAAAGCGCGGAGAAGGGTGAGCTCAGGAGCTGAGGGATGAACTTTGAGCCTGGAGAGTGCAGGGCCATGAAGCCCCACTGCTGACCCTGGGAGCAGCTCCCAGTGCAGCCTGCCAACACGGGGCGACTCACAGCCAACCCCCCCAAAAGGATAAAACCCGAGGGATTCCAGTGTGGCTGCAGACAAAGTGCTCGTGGGGCAGTGACGCACCCTCACAACTCAGAGCACAGCATGTCATACCCCACACAAGAGAAGCACCAGGGACTGAGCTCTCCCTGCAAGCTGAGAGGTCCCTGGGGCTCCTGCTCTGCCAGTGGCCGGTCCCAGAGCAGGGACCATCGATGCTGCTGTGCACCCAGCCCCTCCTCTTACACACGTTTTACACACACCATTTGTAAACACAAAGTGGACCTATTTGATTCACAACAGGACCTTAACACAGGCACCTACTGCTGCTCTGGAGGCTGGACTAACTCTAAAGATTAAGCACTAATTCCAGTTCCAAGAGAGTTTTAAATTGCTATTGTATGCAGCCAACCTTGCTAGGCTTTGCAGGGAACCAAGCCTGTCCCTCCTCCAATGCCCTAACAACCCTGACTACCTGCCCCATCAGGAGGCAAACACCACAGTAAAACCGTAACCCTGGCACCACCGACTCTGAAAATCTCACTTAAAACAGCTGCTCGTGCCAACCAGGCTGCAGGGAGGTGACAGTTCCTCCCCTGAGCACACTGCAGACCTGCTCAAGCAAGCTGAGACACCAAGACCCTGAGACCCTCTAGAGGGAGGAGAGAGGGTTCAGTTCTGTGCTGCTGACAAATGTTCAAGTCCCATCTTGGGGAAAAAAATTGAAATGGAAAGCAGACGC